CATGTTCATCTAGACATTTTTGACAAACTAATTGATCATCTGCTGTGAGCATAGTTAGAGGAGATTTTATTTTTTTCCATTTATTTAGCATATAATAGGTAGAGTTCCACCTGTATTTAATATCTAGTTCAGGCACTAAATAATCAACACCTTTCAGTTCATATAATTTTTTTAAGTTATTTATTGTAGGATATAAAGATTTGATATAAGACATTAATGACTGTACTTTGATAATCAATATATCAATCAAATTAATTCTTCAACAAACTGCCAAGTTTAATATATATACGGCATACTGATAGTAGGAAAAGTTAAAATTATTAAAATCTTCTTCAAGTTCTTCTGCCACAATTGTACCACACAAGATCATCGAGGATGCATTATTCATAGTTAGAGCCAAAGTTTTTTTAGATATATAATTTTCATCCAAAATATCTATTATCGCATTAGGATATTAATTTCTGTATACTGTTCTTTTATTGAAATTATATCATAAAGAAAACATTTTAATTTTTAAGATAAGTCAATATAATGAATTATGAGGCTTAGAAATGATGTACCATTTGATACTGTTCATAAATCTGAAGTAAATGCTACTTTTCCAGGAACTTGATTCAATATTAACTTAATTTTATCTTTTTTTTTTAAAATAGACTATTACTTGGTCTTTTATTGTATTCTTACTAGGAAATTGGTATCATGAGTCAAATTTAAAAACCATTTTTCACCATTTTTTTCTTTTAACAATACTAAATAGTTGCATGTTACAGATAATCCATCTTGCAACTAAATTATCTCTTTTTTTCTGTTCTATTTCTAGATGAGAGTTTGAATTTAAGAGCTTCTGCCTCTGCTTTGGTGCTATAATATTATATATATCTAATAAATAACACCTTAATATTAATATTGCAAATATTAATAAAAATACCTCATTACATATTTTACAAACCAGTAAACCAGGGTTGCCCTTTGTCTCTTCATCAAAATAGGGCCACATGGTTGATTTATACTTCTTTGGTTTACGAGAAAAAATATTTTGCAATTCATTTTGCTCACTTAGATTAAGTAAAGAAGAATCATCATCTTCATCTTGCTCATTATAAGGAAGATCTGGATCTGGGG